AGTCTTCCTGACTCCAAGCTGGGTACTTTACCCATGGGCCACCTAGCTGTAAAGCTCTTTACAGACTTTTAAAGTTTAAGTAAATACATGCTATTATGATTTCTACTCTAAATCTTTTTTAAGGGCAAAGGAAAAAGGAACTATGGACATATGAGATCATTATGCCTTCACACATATTTCCCCACATCCCAGAATCTCACCAATCTCTTTCCCTAGTGACGTCTGGGGAGGTGGAAGGTCATTTCCCCTTTGTAGAAACATCTGCCACGAATAAAACAGCTTATTGAACTAGTGAAATCCCTTCAAGGTCCTGGGGCAGAACAGAAAAGGGACTAGCCTAGGGCTTACAGCTGAGGTTTACATCTTTTCAGAGCATCCCTGGGCCTAGAGCAAGATCCTTGCCCTCCTAGCCTCAGGGCCCCCATATTCCTCAGATATAAACCTAGGCATTCTCCCATTAGTTCTTATGTCATATCCTGAAGATCTGTGCTGTTTCCTGGACTTCATCAATATTGATTTCAAAACTCTGTATTTTTATCAAACCAGATTTAGCAAATACTCTCATTTCTTTGCCTGAGGCTTTCACCCTTAGAAGAAACACGAACTGCCAATAAGCCTGTGGTGAGAGGGAGGAAAAGTGGAGTATAACAGAGAGAAAAAAGCATATTGGGGGCAGGGAAGGGGAAGAGGAGAGTTGGGTCTAGCTAGGATCCTCAGATTTTTCTAGTCTGCTGTTAAATTGGAGGGTAAAAAGAGGGTAAAAAAAAAAGGGTAAAAAAAATTGGAGGGAGGAGAAGGGTAGATCTCTAAGAACCACCTGTCCTGGTTGCCATGTGCTTTGGTCAAAAGGAAGAACTGTGGTGTAGTGGAAAAGGCATGTGACTTGAGCTTGAGGACCAGGGTTCAAATCTCAGCTCTACCTAAAATCTACATAATCTTAAGCAAACCGCTTCAGCTCTGAACTCTTTAGATAATTGCTAAGGCAACAATCAGTAAGGGAACTTAAGGTCAGAGGCAAAAAGTTACGGAAAGTCAAGTACCTGACTATAGACTAGCCATCCTATTGCCCTAACTAGAAGGACCTGGGGAATCATAACTGCAGAACTAAGGCACTAGTGAATTAAACACTATAATTGCTCATTAGCTCAAAGAAGTTTATAGCCAGGAGGTACCATAAAGTCCATCTAATTCAGCATTCCCAATTTACAGATAAGGAAACAGATTCTGATTAGGAGAGGGACTTCTGCAAGGTCACCCAATAAATTAGAAAAGACTTTAACCTAGATGTCTTTACATTTATGGTATGTTCTTTAAAAATATATATATCACTGACTTCAGAGCTGGCCCTATTCAAGAGGGTTAAATCAGTGATGTGTGTGCATTATTTGAGAAAGCCTGTTTTCTCTATCAGTGGCTCACCAACCCCTCCCCCACACACATCAGAAGCTTCCACTATGGAACATCCATTTCCCTTCTATACCCAGTAGCTGCCCGTAGTCTGGTTGCTGGAGTTTTTTTGTTCTTTTTTTCCAGCCCCAGATCAAGACTTACCTATCCTTTCTCTCTTTCCCTTGAGGCCCTGTTCTCTGTAATCCATGTCATGCTTAATGTGCTGTTCCTCCCAGAGTAATGTGTCTCCAGGAAGCTCCTAGAAATGACTGAATAATGATGAGAATTTCAGGCAGAGCTTCTTGGGGAGTGGGGAAAGGAAGGGGTTTCATTTCCCCTCATGTCAGTAAGTACTTGTCTTCTTTGTCCACAAACAAGGTGGGCCCTACACAAAGAACCAAGAAAGGGGACCATGCAAATTACTGATTCATACATTATATATGTTAACACAGTGGAGCTTTTATGAAGCATATTTACTTCGAAAAGTATAGTCACAAATATATAAACATATTTCCCCCAATACATGAAAAGCCTAATTCCCCTTCCCCTTTGTACCATCTCAGTCTCTGGGGAGGACAAAGGGATTAGGGTTCATAGCTTAGCTCAGTTCCCATGGAGCACAGTCCCAGTTCCAAACCCCAAACACCCTCAGGCTCAGTCCCAAACACTCTGGTTTCTCAGGGCTTCCATCTCCTGGCTTGTGATTCTGGCTCCAAGGTCACCATGGCATGAGCTCCTGGTTGGGAGGATCACCTCCCACATCAGAAACTGAAGACAATTAACACAGAAGAGAAACAAATACCCCAGGCCCATTTCTCAGAAATGGAGTAAAAGAGAAGTAAGCAGAAGAAGGTAAGTCCTTCTGGTCCCAGAAGATAGGAATCTCAGAAACATGCCCAGATGAAAGACGGTGGAAAAGAGAGTCTCATTACTTTTAAATGAGTTATTTAATATTTTATTTTTCCCCAGTTACATATAAAAATAATTTTTAACATTTGTTTTTAAATTTTCAGTTCCAAATTCTCTCTCTCCAACCCCCACCCTGTATTGAGAAGGCAAGCATTTTAACATAGGTTATACTATGTAGTCATGCAAAACATATTTTCACATTAGCCATGTTGTAAAAGAAAACATAGACAAAAAAAACTCAAGAAAAATAAAGTTTGAAAAAGTATCTCATCACCTTTAAAGATGCAGGCATCTAATCAAGGAGGCTACACCCCCTGACATGGTAAGGGATACAGCAGGCTCCATGTCAGACAGACTGGGCATGCTCAAAGACCAGGTTACATTTGCTCTTTTGTCTTCAATTTCCTAGCTAAGGAAATATCAATTCAGACCCAGGGCTAAGACTAATGGTGAAAGTCAGAGCAAAGATCTTGAGAACTTGGAGATCAAAGAGTAAACAGAGAAAGATACGGTAGGGCAAGACAGGTGGTCAGTGCATGTTCAAACAGGCCTGCAATTGGAGCTTAGTTTAGGTAATGTTCAGCAACAGCAGATGCCCTGGCCTGGAGGAAGATCATGACCCAGAAAAATCAGGTAGTAAGATTAGAGGTGCAGGTAGTCATGCAGAGAATCTCAAGGAATCCTGAAAAAATAACACCAGTCTCCGAATCTAGAAGTGGGGTGGGAGAGGAAGAAAGGGAAGGAATTTAGTGTGTGAGAGAAGGCAATGCAAGATCCCAATCTGAGAATAATAACGGAGTTCTTGGGCTAAGATCCAAGGAGAAGACTCAGGTTAAGGTGAATAAGATAAGGACTTAATGATTGCAATATGAGATAGGGCTGAAACTGAGGCATGAGGTCAGAGCAAAATAAAACTGACAATGCTGGAATCAGCTAAGCTGATTTCTGACTACTCTACCCAAGAATGTCATCATCACAACTATGAGAAGAAGGTGTAACTAGAAAATACTTCCTATGAAAAAGATGCAGGTATTTTAGTGGACTGAAAGTTCAGTGAATGAATGGACGGATGGATGGGTGAGCATTTATTAAGTGCTTGCTGTGTGCCAAGCACATATGAACCAAGAGTGAGCATAGGATCATAGAAAACCTTAGAGCAAAGGTTCTTCACCTTTTTGTGTCCTGGACCTATCTAAAAATCTGGAAAAACCTATGGACCTCTTGTCCGAATACTGTTTTTAAAAGTATAACATAAAATACATGGGATTACAAAGGAAATCAATTATATTGAAATATATATACATATACATATAAATCAAAAAAAATTTTAAGCAAGTTTATGGACCCTAAGTTAAGAAATTCTACCTAAGAAGTTATCTAGTCCAAGCCACTAATTTCACAAATGGGGAAACTGAGGTCTAGGGAGGTTGACTAAACTTTAAAAGGTCAGAAGAGCCACCAGAGGTTCCTTCAACAACTGGAGTTGGTAGAACAGTCCAACAGAGCAGGTTGAAGCAAAATTTGGTGAGGGAATAACCTTGAGCTGTGACTTCATTCAGCTGGCAGAGCAATAGATTGGCCCACCAGCTGAGGCAATGAACCCCGATGCAAACTTGGTGAGGGCTCTGTGAAAGGACAAAAGGACTCCCAGGGCCAGCATTGTCAATGCCCCCCTCAGCACCCTGTGTTTGTTCCCTATGGGTATGCCTCAATACCTCTGTGCCTCTAGTTTGAGCCCACTATCCCCAGGAACCTGCTATGAATACAGAAAGAAGAGTGTATCTCAGGTTGGGAATTGGTAGGAATGTTTCGCAGCGATCCCTTAAAGCTTGAACTCACTTTCTCTCCAAGGGAAAATGTGTCTCTCAATTTGGGAGAATTTTTAATGCTATTCTTGCTATGCCTTCTTAATAAAAACCTTTTTGTTAAGAAAAAATCTTTTAACGTCACTGGTTGGTTGATGTTAGGGAGGTATCAAGTAGTCAACTGCTATAGGGGAGCACACCAAATGGGGATTCGTGAGTGATATTATTCAATGCCACAACCCCTCAGAGTTGCCCCTAGAATCTTAAAAGGAGAACCATTCAAGCATGTCCACATCCTACAGGTGTGAGCAGGAGTTGAAAGAATGAGTCTAAAGGCAATGCTACATAAGCATTAAAATCAAGATTTAAATCCAGGTCCTTTGACTCCAAAACCAATGCCCTTTCCGTGATAGAACATAGAAGCTAGAAAAACTAAAGTAATCTTAGGCTTCCTTAAGAAAGGCATAATGGTGAGCAGGCAGAAAAACCTGGAAAGAATTGCATGAACTGATGTTGAGTGAACTAAGCAGAACCAGGAGAACATTGTACATAGTAACAGCAACATTGTGCAATGACCAACCTTGATATACTTAGCTCTTCTTAGCAGTGCAATGATCTAAGTCAATTCCAAAAGACTTATGATGGAAAATGCTATCCACATCCAGAGAAAGAACTGTGGAGTCTGAATGCAGATTGAAGCATACGATTTTCTCTTTTTTGCTATCGTTGTTGTCATTGTTCTTTGTTTTTTCTTTCTCATGGTTTTTCCTTTTTGTTCTGATTCTTCTTTTACAATGACTAATTGGACTAATGTGGAAATAAGGTCATTAAAAAAAAGAAAGGCATAAAGCCCAAGACAAAGGAAATGATATTACAACTATGCTCTGCCCTTTTCAGACAACATCTGGACTTTGATATTCAACTCTGGGCTCCATATTTGAAAAGAACATTTCCAAGCTGGAGAGCTTTCAGAGGAAAGTGACCAGGATGATGAGCTTTATTACCATATCATCAGAGCATCAGTTGAAGGAGCAGAAGTTGTTTTGCCTAGAGAACAGAGGAACTATCCTCCTTCTAAACTTTCCTGTTCCTTCCAGTTGACCAGATTCACAACCTGGAAGTCAACATCTATTCTTCTTTCTCCCTCACCTTTCATATCTAATCAGTTGCCACTTCTTGTCCGTTTTACCTCCATGGCATATCTCCCATCATACGTCTCCCTCCTCTCCACTCAGCCACACCCTTGTCATCTTTCTCCTGGACTCCTGCAGTAGCCTTCTAACCAGGCTTCTAGCATCTTCCCCACAGGTGTCATAATAACATTCTTAAATCCAAGTAAGTCTACATCACTCCTCTGCTCAAGAATTTTCATTGGCCCCTTCTAAGATAAGATAAAAATTTCTGGGCATGGTATTAAAATCCATTCACAATCTGGATCAAGGCTAACTTCTCAGAAATCTCTCTTTATTCCTCTTTGCGTCTTCTATATTCCAGACAAAGTGGCCTAGTTATTATTCCAAGAACTTAGCTTTGCATTTCTTCCTTCACCTTTGCAGATATTGTTCCCCAAGCCTAAAATGTACTCCTTTTTTACCTCTACCCTAGCTTCCTGCAAAGCTCCATTTAAGGTACCACACCCTCTGGGAAGCCATCTTTGGAGCTGCTATTCCTCTAACACACACACACACATACACACACACACACACACACACACATACTCATGAATTGTAGAACAGCAGTACATTCATCCAACTGGGCTTCAAGGTTTTCAAAGCATTTCAAAGCATTCATCATTTCATCTGATTGTCACAACTTGGAAGTTTGCAACACACTCATGGCCAACCTTCCTAATGCTTCAATTGGCTATGAAGACTATCTTCCCCAAAATTTCATTAAATATGTAAGTTTTGTACACAGCCTCCTATCCTTTTCCCTCCCTAATGTGGAAGTCAGTTTACCACAGAATCACTCATTTGGAGAAGCATTTGCTGTCAAGGGCACAAATTAAAACAGGGTTGGTGAACCTGATTAATTCTCCTTTTCATTTTATGGGGGGAAATAATACGACAAACCTAGAGAGGTAGCCCTAACTCAGGTTCTCAAAGGCTAAACCAGAGATGTGTAAGCTCTGATGGATTTTGTCAATCTGGAAAGGTTTTGCTGACAGACTCTATTTCTGCCTTTCAAGGACCAACCTGTCTAAGCATAAAAAGGCTCATTACTGGAATATTGGAGACCCAGCAATGTGATGACTTAAAAAAGAAAAAAACAGAGCAACTCTTTAAGCCTTCCTGCAAGGTGTGGGAGAGGACAAGGGAGGTTGCAATCTACGTTGGACTAGCAGAAGTACCCAGACTAATGGAATGAGATATCCTTGCATACCAATAAGGGCTCACTTTTTGTAGCACTTCAAGACTAGTGAAGCACTTTCTTCCTAACATCCCTGTGAGTTAGGTTAGTAGCATATGTATTATTATCCCCATTTTAAAGATGAAGAAACTGAGGCTAGGATAGGTAAAGGGATATTACCCAGGTTGCACAGCTGAAAATGTCCTAACTGGGGCTTCGACCTGTTTCTTCTGAACCCAAGACTCTTTCCAGCAAGGTATACTAAAATCTAGACTCTAGAACAAGGTTGGGGAACCTGTGGCCTCAAGGATACATGTGGCCCTCTAGGTCCTCAAACTTGGCCCTTTGAATCCAAACTTCACAGAACAAATCCCCTTAATGAAAGGATTTGTTCTGTAAAATTTGGGCTCAGTCAAAAGACCATACCCAAGAGCCTAGAAGGCCACATGTGGCCTCAAAGCCACAGGTTCCCCACCCCTGCTCTAGAACAAGGAAGGCAATGGTCCCACTATACCCTAGGCTTCTCTATTTACATCTGCAATGTTGTGTTTGGTTCAGGGTATTGTATTTTGAGAATGTGACAAACTTGAGCGCATCTAGGAAGATAAGGAAGACAGAGATAAGCCTGAAAATCATGTCATAGGAGGGCCAGATAAAGGAACTAGGAATGTGTTTCACTTGAAGATGGTAAGACTTACAGAGATAAGCCTGAAAATCATGTCATAGGAGGGCCAGATAAAGGAACTAGGAATGTGTTTCACTTGAAGACGGTAAGACTTACAGGAGGCATGGACAGCTTTCTTTCAGCATCTGAAGGGCTATCACATGAAAGAGAGATCTGATTTCTTTTGCTCAGTTTCATTGGGGAAAACAAAGACCAGAGGCAAGAAAGTTTCATAGAAATGGTTTTCTGCTTAATATAAGGAAATGTTATAATAATTAGAATTATCCAACCGTAAAACTGGCTGCCTCAGAAAACAATGAACTTCCCTTGAAAAATGAGGGAATCGGGCTAGAGCTAGATAATCAGGTCTCTTCTAGCTAAAATATCCTTTGATTCTAACCTCAGAAGCATTCAAGCAGAGGCCAGTTTACCCCGAGTCAGCAACACCATAAAGAAGATTCCTACTTGGGGTAAGAGGTTTAACTGCTGACCTCCAAGGTCCTTTCTACCTCTAAGATTCCAGCTCTGACATCCTGTGATTTCAGTGACAGTGCTTAAAAAAAAAAAAAGGTACAGCTAAGCCTGCTTTAATGAATAAATAAGATTTGTTTGTAATGAGCAGTGCCTTTTGCATGCAAGCCTAATTAATGTCCTCAAAATTGTTCTTTTTAATCAGCTAAACATCCTCCCTTTCATTTTTTATGCTGTTTCACTGTAAATTATTCAAATAAACTATGCATATAAACTTCAGCTAAGTCAGAAGGTCACAAATTATTCATTCATTCAAAAAATATGTATTAACCTACTACTGTGTTCAACTATGCTGTTATTGAAGCAGCTACAAAATTTAAATAAGACTTTGTCCCTGCTCTTAGGGAGTTAAGAGTCTAGTAAGGAGTTAAGATACCTCACTTGGCCTATTAATTTCTGCCCCAGCTGTTATTTCCTTGGGTTCCTGTAAGACTTAGCTCAAATGACTCCTCCAGCTTGAGGCCTTTCCCCAGGCTCCCCTTCACTACTAGTTGCTAATACTTTCCCCTCTGAGATTACCTTCCACCTGCTCTACACATATCTTTTTTTTTCTTTTTCTTTCTTTTTCCTTTTTTTTTTTTTTGCTAGGCAATTGGGGTTAAGTGACTCGCCAAGGGTCACACATCTAGTAAGTATCAAGTGTCTGAGGCCGAATTTGAACTCAGGTTCTCTTGACTCCAGGGCCCGTACTGTATTCATTATGCCACTTAGCTGCCCCTACTCTGCACATATCTTGTATGCACCTAATTATTTATATGCTGAATCCCTCATTAGAATATACTCCTTGAGAGCAGGGACTGTGTTTTTACCTTTCTTTGTATCCTGAGCACTTAGCACAGTGCCTAGCACATACTGAGGGCTTAATAAATATTTGTTGACTGACTGCTGATTTACATACACCTACAATGCACAATAATATATAAGTGAATTAAGGAATTGCAAAACTAAATGAGATTTACATGAAAACTGCATGCTAACATCACTAATAGTAAGAGAAATGCTAACTGAAATAACTCTGAGATCTTGCCACACTCCACATAAATTGAGAAAAATGAAATAATGGTAATAATTAATGTTGGTGGGAATTTGGGACCGTAGTACATGTTGCATAGTTGATGGACCGGCCATAGTAGTCCAACAATTCTAAAAAACAATCTGGGATTATTTAAGAAAAGTGAATACATGAGGCCTTTTGATGCAGAATCCCATTACTAGGTATTTATGGTTACCACTACTCTACCTTCAGAAAGTAAAAGAATAAAACAAAAGTCTAGTAGATAGTCAAATATTCATAGCAACACTCTTGTGGCAATAAAGAACTGGAAACAAAGTGGGTGCCTATCAATTAGGAAATGTTTGAAAAAACTATGCTATATAAATGTCATGGAATATTACAGTAAAACATAATGAACATGATGAATTCAAAGAAATGTGGGAAGATTTCTATGAAGTGATAAGTGAAATAATCAGAACCAAGAGACAACAACATAAACAATGATTACAATGATGTAAATGAAAGGATCATCTTAAGAATCATCTAGAGGAAGTTGAACTCTGAGTAATGGAAAAACCAATGAAGGTGGAGGGGGAAGGGCCCCTCGTTGTAACTTTCTCCTCTCCTGGTTTCTGTGACCCTGAATTAACCTTGCTCTCTTCCTGCCCAATTACTCTTTTTCTTTCTCCTTTCCAGGCTTCTTTGCTTTTCCCAGGCCCCATGCATAGAAGCTGAGAGAGAGAGAGAGAGAGAGAGAGAGAGAGATTTTGGCTCAATAGAAAGAAAAAAACCTTCTTAACAATTCTAACTGTCCCAAAGTAGAATGAGTTACCTCTCCATCTCTGGAGGCCTTCAAATTGAGGCTAGATGACCATTTATCTAAGGTGTTACACAGGGGAGTTACGCTTCCCATAAGGGTTGACTCCTGAAGCCCCTTCCTGTTCTGAGACTCTATAATTTCTCCTTTCACCCAAATACAGATGCTTCTCAAGGTCTTCTCATAAGCCCTCATTTCTTTTTTCTCAGCTCTGAGATTTTGTGATTCTCTACTCTCTCTTAGTGAGCACGTCCATTCTCATGGCTTCAACTCATACCTTACAACAGTGCTTTGCAAAACTTAAGGTGCTATATAAATGCTAGCTATCATCATTATTATTGTATTTTTGGTTAGGCAATGGGGTTAAGTGACTTGTCCAAGGTCACACAACTAGTAAGTGTTATGTGTCTTAGGAAGGATTTGAACTCAAGTCCTCCTAAATCCAGGGCCGGTGCTCTATCCACTGCTCCACCTAGCTGCCCCACATTGTTATTATTATTAAAACTCTATGTAGATAAGTCTCAAATCTGTCCCCAGCCCCAATATCTCCCCTTCCCCCTAAGCTCCAATCTTATACTTTCAACTGCCTATTTAGTATCTCAGTATATCCAAATCTAAGCTCCCCATCTTCCTAGACCTACTCCCAAAGCAACTTCTCCTTTTTTTTTTTACTTTTAATGGCTATACCATTCTCCTTATCTCAAAAACTCAATCATCTTTGACCACTTCCTCACTTTTTACAATCAGTTGATAATACTTTTCCATCCTACCTCTGCAATAATCACCTATCCATGCCTTCCCTTATATTTCTCTGCTAACCATCACCTTCATCTTTTCATCACCCTTCATCTGGACTGTTGTAATGTCCTCTCTCCTATCTGGTCTTCTCCCTGCCTCCAGTCCTTCTGACTCTGGGATATTCATCTAAAAAGATGAATCTTTGATAGAAGCTAGGAGTCTAGGCTCTTAGTACAGTACAAAGAATTGTTGGAACAGTACACAGGTCCACCAATTATACAACATGGGCTACTTTCCCAAAGTCTCACTAACATTTATTATAACCATTTATTTCATTTGTCCCAGTTTGCATGGAGTGTCGCAAGATCTCAGAGTTATTTCATTTGGCATTTCTCTTACTATTAGTAATGTGCAGCATGGACTTGTCACGTAGATCTCACTTAGTTTAGCAATTCCTCAATGCACTTACATATTATTGTGCATTATAGGTGTATATAAATCAGCAGTCAGTCAACAAATATTTATTAAGCCCTTACTATGTTCTAGGCACTATGCTAAGTGCTCAGGATACAAAGTAAGGTAAAAACACAGTTCCAAAGAGTAGCTTTGGACATCTCACTTATGTCATATCCTGCCTCTTATGTTTACTTTGTCTGTTCTTATGAGGACTGTTGTTTATTTTTTCCCTTATATTCCTAACATTATGCCTGGGCAGCTAGGAGGTGAAGTGGATAGAGTACCAGGGCCTGGGGTCAGAAAAATTCATCTACCTGAGTTCAAATCCAACCTCAGATACTTACTAGCTGGATGACTCTGGGCAAGTCACTTAACCCTCTTTGCCTCAGTTTCCTCATTTGTCAAGTGAACTAGAGAAGGAAATGGCAAACCACTTCAGTAT